GACCATTTCACCAGATATTGTGAGTTAGTTCCTATTGCAGATAAGACTGCTGAGACAGTAGCTAAAGCATTTAAAGAATGCATTATCTGCAGGCATACCACTCCCAAGTCTTTAGTAACAGATAATGGAGGTGAATTCTGTAATGAGATTCTTGAAAGTTTGTGTACTTTGTACAAGATCTCTAAATCCACCATTGTTCCTCATCATCCTGCCAGCAATGGGTTAGCTGAACGAACCAATAAGAAAGTACTTGATGACTTGAGAGCCACTATCAACCCCAATAGTGAAACTTGGGATGAAGTTATACCAGATGTTCAATGTGCCATAAATTCTGCTTACAATGCTTCCATAGGTGATACTCCACATTATGCATTGTATGGTGTAGACAAGCGTTTACCCTATGAGTTGTTATATTCTACTCCGAAACTCAATTACAACCCTGATGATTTCATAGCAACTCGTACAAGCATGGCTTAGAGTGTTTTTAAAAGAATCCGTGAAACACTTCATAAATCAACAGCAGAATTTACTAGAGTAACTAATAGCCGTGCTAAACCATCAAGAGTTAAAGTAGGTTCGAGAGTAATGCTGACAAATTTCAACAAAACATCCAAAATGCCTAAGCTCGATCAAAAGTTAGTTGACCCTTATCGAGTTGTAGAAAATATCTCGGGCAATAAGTACATGTATAAGGTTAGAGAAATTAGTACTGGTAAGTACAAAGAATCGCATTTAGATCATATGAAATTAGTATGCGATGTTGATGATATTGCTACCCAGACTAATGTGACAGATGCTGAAAATCCTCTTGACTCTGTACCCTCTACCTCAAATACTCAGTCAGATATTTAACCTGAATGTCGTTACTCCTTGCGTACTCAACAAGTAATGAGAAACCCACATGTATCTTTTGTAGATACTCGTTCAGATCTCCCTCAGTCAAGGCATGTGTTAGCCATTGCAGAGGAATTCAATCCTCCCAGAGATGATAACCATTCTGCATATGTAAACCTCACCCTCGCAGAATTGGGTTTAAATGTACATAGTCTGTATAACTAGTTGTCCGAGATGAAGGAAATTGTAAACTGTTTGTTATTAACTGATCATTTTTTCAGATTTTTTTTTTTTTTGTGTTCACATTCCCTCCATAATCTGAGAATTTGACAGTAATGATCTGAGTGCGCACCAGATGCCTTTGCTGTTAATTTCACCTTGTATATATCTATCTATTTCCTCAGAATCCGTAGAGTGCATGAATACAGATCGATCGATCAATTTCCATCCACATTGTACAATGATTTGTTCTTATAAGTCGTAATGCATTACAATGAAACTCGTTACGTTAAGTGATTACATTAACACCCATTACGTAAAACTCATTTTGTTAACATCCAGCATGATACCGTCCATTAGTTCCAAGTTATATATGAATTTGTTATTGCATAGAATCAGCCCAGAACCACCTGCCTGTTCAGCCTATAGCATAGTAGTGTATGTCGAGACGACATACGTAACATGACCGAGCTGTCAGCATAGTTGCTGATCCCCTTGTATGTATTGTATAGCGTATTATAGTACCATGCATGTGCTTTATATAGAAGATCCCTATTAGGCCGAGTGACTGTATGACGTCACGGGATGCAGCGCGAGTGAGTGACGAGCTGCCTCTTCCTCACTCGACGGATAGACATAGAAGCAGGCAGAACACGGCAGGCCTGGGCTCCCACCTCTCGTCACAGTCTGACAATATATAGTGTTACCATCCAACAAGGTGTTTACCTTCAACCCTCGTATCTCCTTAAGAACCCCTACGACGCAGGTGTTGGGATACGTTTGGAAGATCATGGATGTATATGAGGAAGAGCAGGGGACCAAGGACACTTCCCTGCGGAACTCCAGTATCAAGTGGCCGTGTTATTGATGCTGTGTCTTTAATGGTGACATACTGATACCTATTAATAAGATAAGATTTGAAATATGCAAGCGCATGGCCTCTTATACCATAATGGTCAAGTTTGTGGAGTAGGATGCCATGGTCTACTGTGTCAAAAGCTTTTCTTAGGTCAATAAAAATTCCTAGTGGATATTCCTTATTTTCCAATGCTGTGTAAAGCAGATCTAGCATTTTTATAATTGCATCATTAGTGCTTTTATTTTTCCTGAATCTAAATTGGCAGAGGTTGAGTATGTTTTGTGCCGTTATAAATGAATATAGTCTCTGTGCACGAGTTTCTCAAAGATTTTGGATAGCAATGGTAAGTTTGATATTGGCCTATAGTTGTTTAAATCTGTAGGGTCACCACCTTTATGTATTGGTGTAACCTTTGCCATCTTGAGTAGTTTCGGGAAGGTGCTAGTTTCTAGTGACTTGTTAAAAAGTAATGAAATAGCATGCGAAAGGACATGGGCCGCTCACTTGTACAATAATGGTAGGACATGAGACAGGTTCCCTGAGTTATTTTTAAGTGACTTCATAATCTCAGTGACTTCCGTGCACTCAGTTGGTGCAAGATAGAAGGAATCTGGGAAATTCCCATCTAGGTAGTCCCCAGCATGGGCATTGGTAAGGGGATTTTATTGGCGAGATTAGATCCTATGGTTGAGAAGAAGTCGTTTATCTTGTTAGCTGTGTCAGTGGGATGCAGTGGTGTTTCATTAGGTTTGGTTAGGACAATATTCTTGTTTTTTCCAGTTTGTGGGTCCCTAGAATCTGAGAAAGTGTTTTCCAGGTCTTTTTTATATCTCCTCTTTTGTCAGTGAATCTGCTGGAGTAGTATAGTTGTTTGGTTTTCTTTATTACTTTGGTGAGAACTGATGAATAGTGTTTAAACATATCTGTGTGTATTAAGCCCTGTCTACATTGCTTTTCATATTGGCGTTTCTTATCAATGGATTATTGGCGTTTCTTATCAATGGATTTCAGAATGGTGCTGGTTAGCCATGGGCAACCAAGCCATTTGTTTGTGATCTGTTTCGTTTTTATAGGACAATGTTTGTTGTATAGTCTAAGTAATTTGTTAAGAAAAACGTCTGTCCAGTCATCAATACCACTGGCCTTGGAGAATTCTGTAGGCCAGTCAACAGTCTCTAGGTCAGCTCTGAAATTCCTTATTGAGGCCTCGTCATGGAGTCTAAATGAAACTTTGTTGTATTCAAGAGGTGGTTTACTAATGTTTGTCAAGAGGAAGGTAGGGTAGTGGTCTGCAGTGCTATCTGTGATTATCCCTGATTTAAGGGGGGCTAGTATATTTGTCCATATGTGGTCTATTATGGTTGCACTTGTCTCAGTGAGCCTGGTTGGTTTAGTTATTGTTGGTATGAGAAATGTGTGGTCCATATTGTTGATGAAATCAGTTACAGGCTGATCATCTAGTAGGCCAAGGTTGATGTTGAAGTCTCCAGCTAAGAGAAGGTGGTGCTTATTCATTTGTCCGTTTGTTATTAGTGCCTTTAATTTCTCACTGAAATTTGGGGTGTTTGTGTGGGGTATCTGGTAAATGGCACAGATTGTTATAGGCATCCCCATATTCATCGCTAAAGCAAGTGGTGCTAATACAAGATAATTGGTTAGAGTAATAGATTGCAATACCACCCCCAACTTGGTATGGTCTGCAGTTGTGAATTGCTGTGTATCCTGGTAGAGGGTAGATATCTATTGTGTCCTGCTTAAGCCAGGTCTCAGTAAGAATAATGCAGGAGAAGGGTGTCTTTAGTGACTCAAGGAGTGCCAGGAGGTCATCATAGTGTTTGCTTAAGGACCTGATGTTGTAGTTAAGTACTGATAGACTTTTAGCATTGTTTAGGATAGTGCTGGCTTGTGATGCTGTGTAATAAAGGCAGTTACTTTCCAATAGGTTTTGATTGGGTGTCAGATTATGGAGGTTTAGATCAGGGTCAACGTGATCAATCATCTTCTAGGTTTAAATTATGGTTATTTATATCCTGAGTTGTGTGTTGAGTTCTAGTACTGATATCTGTAGTGGTGGGAAGTTTGGACAAGTATATAGCTAAAGCATTTTGGTCATATAGAGTATAGTCACTAATACACATAATGAAGTTGATGTTGTCTATGTGTTGTGCTGGAATGAGCTAAAGTACCACTAGGTATAAACTAATATAAAAATACAAATTAAAAATAGCACAAGACTCTCACTTGTAATTGCCCTAAGGTCTAATATAATGACTTTGGTATAGTCTACGTATTGAGCTAGAATGAGCTATAGTACAACTAGGTTTAATCTCATAATATAAAAATACAAATTAAAAATAGCACCAGACTCTCACTAGTAATTGCACTGTGGTCTAATATAATGAATTTCTTATTGACTATGTATTGAGCTAGAATGAGCTATAGTACAACTGAGTTTAATCTAATGATATAAAAAAGGCACAAGACACTCAATTGTAATTGCACTAAGGTCTTATATAAGTTGTTTACAAGAACTGGAGTATAACTAGATTTAAATTGACAAGATAAAATAGACAAGTTAAGGTAGCAAAAGAATAATAAAAAAAATATAAAAATAAAAATGGCAATGACTTGGTTATAATATGCTAATAAGATGGTAGACAGGATAATATAAAAGTTGTAGTTGAAAATACTAGTTTAAAAAAGTATAGAATAAAAATGGGCAATAAAAAAAAGTTTACAATAAGTTTGGTCAATAGTTTAAAGTAAAATTGGGCAATAGAGTATTTCTTAAAGTGGGGTAGAATAACTGAGGACAAGTTATGGTTAGTTTAAAATAAAATAAAATAAGATAGAACAGTGATGTGGTAAGATGTAAAAAAGGAGATAGATTCTGTAGATATTAAACACTTAATCACTACTGACGGAATATACAACAGCTAATAACTAGTTTCCAATCAATGCACATCACCAATAGTAATTTTATACAATATTCTCTTAAGATAAATGTAGCATTTATTTTTCATATGGAACAGCCTATAGTTATGCTTCAAAATTATCTGGATTCTAATATAATACAATTCTGATTCACCTGTTTTTATCATCTGATGGTTCTGTGGTTACATTTGGAGTTGGTGCAACAGGGGGACTTTCACTGTCCTTAGAAGGAAGAGTAACCAACACCCATATTCCTATGCCACACCAAGCCTGAAAAGGTATTCTTTTATAGAAAACAAATTTCTAGCCAAAAAAAGACATTTGAATGAGAGGAAAATAATTAAAAATTGACTTTATATACATGTATAATGTATTTGCTATCACTAGTCCATGCATTTTTCATAATTCATGCAGCTAAAATTTCATTATCAATTAATAACTGGGCTAAAGTATCTTCAAAGAAACCCCTATTATGCTCCCATAATAAAATTAGAAAAATTGAATTTTAGATCACAATTTAAATTAGGAAATTTTTTGTATTAAAATACTAATTTTTTTTTGTGGTAAAAAGACTATGGGTTTCTGCATTACAATCTAGTTACATTCCTGATTTTTCAATATACAAATAATTTTTTTTTAAGCAAATACAGTGGACCCCCGACTAACGATCAGCTCCCAACTCGACCAATTATGTAAGTGTATTTTTGTAAGTGCTTTTGTAGGTTTATTTTTGGGGGTCTGAAACGGACTAATCTAATTCACAATATTCCTTATGGGAGCAAATTCGGTCTATAACGGCACCCAAACAGACTTCTGGATTGAAATAATATCGTTAGTCGGGGGTCCACTGTAATAATGCAAAGAATGATTATATTTCACATGATTATGCTGCATAACTGTGCTAGTCAAAATTGTAAGGTTTTATGAATAACTTGTCTAAGGGGGAGTGCTACTGGATATTACTGGTACTTAACATACCTAATATTAAAAGATGCACCAAAAACAATATTTTTGCAATAAAGATATCTAAAACAGTTTAGTAATGCAAAGCAAGCAACTTAAAACATTTAATAGTCTACAGTTTTAATTACTTTTCACAGGAATGAAACCAATGCACCTATTTAACACCAAAAAACAATCTGAGTAGTAGTACTAGTACAGTAGTTTTTAGTAGTAGTACTAGTACAGTATTTTTAGTAATAGTACAGTATTTTTAGTAGTAGTACTAGTACAGTATTTTTAGTAGTAGTACTAGTACAGTATTTTTAGTAGTAGTACTAGTACAGTATTTTTAGTAATAGTACAGTATTTTTAGTAGTAGTACTAGTACAGTATTTTTAGTAGTAGTACTAGTACAGTATTTTTAGTAGTAGTACTAGTACAGTATTTTTAGTAATAGTACAGTATTTTTAGTAGTACTAGTACAGTATTTTTAGTAATAGTACAGTATTTTTAGTAGTAGTACTAGTACAGTATTTTTAGTAGTAGTACTAGTACAGTATTTTTAGTAGTAGTACTAGTACAGTATTTTTAGTAATAGTACAGTATTTTTAGTAGTAGTACTAGTACAGTATTTTTAGTAGTAGTACTAGTACAGTATTTTTAGTAATAGTACAGTATTTTTAGTAGTAGTACTAGTACAGTATTTTTAGTAGTAGTACTAGTACAGTATTTTTAGTAGTAGTACTAGTACAGTATTTTTAGTAGTAGTACTAGTACAGTAGTTTTAAATAGTACTAGTACAGTAGTTTTAAATAGTACTAGTACAGTAGTTTCTAGTAGTACTAGTACAGTAGTTTTAGTAGTACTATTACAGTAGTTTTAAATAGTACTAGTACAGTAGTTTCTAGTAGTACTAGTACAGTAGTTTTAGTAGTACTAGTACAGTAGTTTTAAATAGTACTAGTACAGTAGTTTCTAGTAGTACTAGTACAGTAGTTTCTAGTAGTACTAGTACAGTAGTTTTAGTAGTACTATTACAGTAGTTTTAAATAGTACTAGTACAGTAGTTTCTAGTAGTACTAGTACAGTAGTTTTAGTAGTACTAGTACAGTAGTTTTAAATAGTACTAGTACAGTAGTTTCTAGTAGTACTAGTACAGCAGTTTCTAGTAGTACTACCTGGAGTTTACCTGGAGAGAGTTTCGGGGGTCAACGCCCCCGCGGCCCGGTCTGTGACCAGGCCTCCTGGTGGATCAGCGCCTGATCAACCAGGCTGTTGCTGCTGGCTGCACGCAAACCAACGTACGAGCCACAGCCCGGCTGATCAGGAACTGACTTTAGGTGCTTGTCCAGTGCCAGCTTGAAGACTGCCAGGGGTCTGTTGGTAATCCCCCTTATGTGTGCTGGGAGGCAGTTGAACAGTCTCGGGCCCCTGACACTTATTGTATTGTCTCTTAACGTGCTAGTGACACCCCTGCTTTTCATTGGGGGGATGGTGCATCGTCTGCCAAGTCTTTTGCTTTCGTAGTGAGTGATTTTCGTGTGCAAGTTCGGTACTAGTCCCTCTAGGATTTTCCAGGTGTATATAATCATGTATCTCTCCCTCCTGCGTTCCAGGGAATACAGGTTTAGAAACCTCAAGCGCTCCCAGTAATTGAGGTGTTTTATCTCCGTTATGCGAGCCGTGAAAGTTCTCTGTACATTTTCTAGGTCGGCAATTTCACCTGCCTTGAAAGGTGCTGTTAGAGTGCAGCAATATTCCAGCCTAGATAGAACAAGTGACCTGAAGAGTGTCATCATGGGCTTGGCCTCCCTAGTTTTGAAGGTTCTCATTATCCATCCTGTCATTTTTCTAGCAGATGCGATTGATACAATGTTATGGTCCTTGAAGGTGAGATCCTCCGACATAATCACTCCCAGGTCTTTGACGTTGGTGTTTCGCTCTATTTCGTGGCCAGAATTTGTTTTGTACTCTGATGAAGATTTAATTTCCTCATGTTTACCATATCTGAGTAATTGAAATTTCTCATCGTTGAACTTCATATTGTTTTCTGCAGCCCACTGAAAGATTTGGTTGATGTCCGCCTGGAGCCTTGCAGTGTCTGCAATGGAAGACACTGTCATGCAGATTCGGGTGTCATCTGCAAAGGAAGACACGGTGCTGTGGCTGACATCCTTGTCTATGTCGGATATGAGGATGAGGAACAAGATGGGAGCTAGTACTGTGCCTTGTGGAACAGAGCTTTTCACCGTAGCTGCCTCGGACTTTACTCTGTTGACGACTACTCTCTGTGTTCTGTTAGTGAGGAAATTATAGATCCATCGACCGACTTTTCCTGTTATTCCTTTAGCGCGCATTTTGTGCGCTATTACGCCATGGTCACACTTGTCGAAGGCTTTTTGCAAAGTCTGTATATATTACATCTGCATTCTTTTTGTCTTCTAGTGCATTTAGGACCTTGTCGTAGTGATCCAGTAGCTGAGACAGACAGGAGCGACCTGTTCTAAACCCATGTTGCCCTGGGTTGTGTAACTGATGGGTTTCTAGATGGGTGGTGATCTTGCTTCTTAGGACCCTTTCAAAGATTTTTATGATATGGGATGTTAGTGCTATTGGTCTGTAGTTCTTTGCTGTTGCTTTACTGCCCCCTTTGTGGAGTGGGGCTATGTCTGTTGTTTTTAGTAACTGAGGGACGACCCCCGTGTCCATGCTCCCTCTCCATAGGATGGAAAAGGCTCGTGATAGGGGCTTCTTGCAGTTCTTGATGAACACAGAGTTCCATGAGTCTGGCCCTGGGGCAGAGTGCATGGGCATGTCATTTATCGCCTGTTCGAAGTCATTTGGCGTCAGGATAACATCGGATAGGCTTGTGTTAATCAAATTTTGTGGCTCTCTCATAAAAAATTCATTTTGATCTTCGACTCTCAGTCTGGTTAGCGGCTTGCTAAAAACTGAGTCATATTGGGACTTGAGTAGCTCACTCATTTCCTTGCTGTCATCTGTGTAGGACCCATCTTGTTTAAGTAGGGGCCCAATACTGGGCGTTGTTCTCGATTTTGATTTGTCATAGGAGAAGAAATACTTTGGGTTTCTTTCGATTTCATTTATAGCTTTTAGTTCTTCCCGCGATTCCTGACTCCTAAAGGATTCTTTTAGCTTAAGTTCGATGCTTGCTATTTCTCTGACCAGTGTCTCCCTGCGCATTTCAGATATATTGACCTCTTTTAGCCGCTCTGTTATTCTTTTCCGTCGCCTGTAAAGGGAGCGCCTGTCTCTTTCTATTTTACATCTACTCCTCCTTTTTCTTAGAGGAATAAGCCTTGTGCATACATCGAGTGCCACCGAGTTAATCTGTTCTAGGCATAAGTTTGGGTCTGTGTTGCTTAGTATATCTTCCCAGCTTATATCGGTTAGGACTTGGTTTACTTGGTCCCACTTTATGTTTTTGTTATTGAAGTTGAATTTGGTGAATGCTCCCTCGTGACTAGTCTCATTTTGTCGGTCTGGGGCTCCTCGCATACATGTCTGAATCTCAATTATGTTGTGATCTGAGTATATTGTTTTTGATATGGTGACATTTCTTATCAGATCATCATTGTTAGTGAATATGAGGTCTAGTGTATTCTCCAGTCTAGTAGGCTCTATTATTTGCTGGTTTAAATTGAATTTTGTGCAGAGATTTAAAAGCTCGTGTGAGTGTGAGTTTTCATCAGAGCTGCCTCCTGGTGTTATTACTGCAACAATATTATTTGCTATATTCCTCCATTTTAGGTGCCTTAAGTTGAAATCCCCCAGGAGCAAGATGTTGGGTGCAGGAGCTGGAAGATTTTCCAGACAGTGGTCAATTTTTAACAGCTGTTCCTGGAATTGCTGGGATGTTGCATCCGGAGGCTTGTAGACTACCACAATGACTAGGTTTTGGTTCTCGACCTTTACTGCTAAAACTTCCACTACGTCATTTGAGGCATTAACCCTTTGACTGTCGAAGGGCCAAATCCTGAAGTTGCTTCTGGTGTCGCAAAATTTTCGAAAAAAAAAAAAAATTATTTTTTCTTATGAAATGATAGAGAATCTTTTCCCGATTGTAAAGACACCAAAAAAACGAAATTTGATGGAAAACTGACGGAATTACGCTCTCGCGAAGTTAGCGACTTCGGCGATATTTAAAAATCGGCAATTTCGCCCACTTTGAGCCCTATTTTCGGCTAATTCCCTTATTCCAGTCAACCAAACTCATAACTATTTCTTCAGAACTCTATTTTTTCTATCGATTGAGTACAAGAAACTGCCCATTTACCGATTTCAACTACCCAATAACATGGTCAGAA